ACGATTATCCCTATTTTAGGGATAAGGAAAGTGAGGACACATGAGGTTATAAAAGTGATTTCAAAGTTACCAAGCTAGTAAGCAGAGAGCTAGAATTTGGGTTGAAGGACTGTTTCCAAGCTCCATATTGTTGTGCCTCCATGGCTAGGTGTTCAGGGGACAAGAGTAAGCATTCAGTATAAGCGTAGAAGTTGCACAATTGAATACTATTAGTGGACTCAAACCTATGACTTCCTTCAGGTGGGAAATGAGATGACCCCTTTCTTACTCCACTCTTTTCCCTCTATTTCCCTTTGGCAAAGCTGATGCCTGAATGAGACGCCTGAATAAAGAATGCAATCATTTCCAGATGTTGTTAGGCAATAATATGTGGTTTCTGAACAAACTAGTCAGTGGCTCTTCCTGAGACTTATATGGCAAATGATGCTTAAACAAGCTGATAGACTGAAAGTGCTAACAGTGAATACATGCAGCTTCTGTGTCCAAACGCAGCCTTTCCACATTAGGCTGCTGGAAATGAGAATGGGTAATAAGCAGGTAAGAGAAGGGAGAGACGGTGGTATAGGTGTGATGAAAGGGGGAAAGTGTTGTTGTCCAGAGACAGTGTGGGGTAGGGGGCCACAGGAATTGAATTAGTGTTATCAAACATCAGTTAACATTCACATGCTGCCTTTATTATTCACTTAATATTATAAACCAACTTACTTGTTTTTTAACCTAAGCATCATTATAAGAAATACATATCCGGGACCGGCCTGGTGGCACAGCAGTTGGGTGTGCATGCTCCGCTTCAGCAGCCCAAGGGTTCGCAGGTTCGGACCCCGGGCGTGCACCGATGCACCGCTTGTCAAGCCATGCTGTGGCGGCGTCCCATATAAAGTGGAGGAAGATGGTCATGGATGTTAACCCAGGACCAATCTTCCTTGGCAAAAAGAGGAGGATTGGCATCGGATGTTAGCTCAGGGCTGATCTTCCTCACAAAAAAAAAAAAAAAAAAAAGAAAAGAAATATATATCCAATTGCATATTTGTTAATAATTATTTTTTCTAATACACACAGTCCTGTAACTATTAATATTTATGTATGTAACTATTAATATTTTTTAAAAGTTTATCACTATATTACCTAAAATAGTCTCATGTAGCATCAGTGGTTTAAGTCCCATACTTTCAGAAACTGAACTAGAATTAGGAGACGCTATGTGGAATTGCTCAGGGCTGAGAGAGAGCCTAAAGGAAAGATGGTAAAATAAAGCATTATGTATGCTGTAGAGGGTCACATCAGAAGGGGTGAAAGGGACAGTTAAAAAATCTGGAGAAGCTAAAAGCCATAAAAAACAAAGGATGTCTCTGTTCCCCCTCGCCTAGGCATGCTAGAGACGAGGATAATACACCAAAGTAGCAAGTACCAGGGAAAGACCAGAGAACCCTAGGTGAGTAGACCATACTCAGACCAGAATCCATTGCAGAAGGAAGGCTCTTTTCTTTTTTGCGTCTTTTTCTTAACAAACAAATCCCTTAACACTTTTCTTATCAAGCAAACATTGCCTCTGTTCACTTTTTCATTCTCTCTGACACTATATTTGTTACTTAGGAAAGAGCGATAAGCACAGATTTTGATTGAACGCAGTGTCATCCTAATTATCAAGCGTTGGGAGCATACTGCAGTGGTGATCTATGAAATAATGTGATATAAAAAAATCATAGAATATAAGATTTTAAAAAAAGGAAAGAAAATGAAGTCAAAAGCCATCAAGGCCCAGAGAATCATCTCTTTATTTAAAAATATTTGACTGAGATGATTAATTCAGAAGAATAACAGCATTAATACAAAGCAGAAGTTTTTTAAAAGCCTTGAAGTAATAGGTTGAACCGTATGAAATTGCCAATATTTGTTGTTTTTGATCTACAGATAAGACAATTTCAAAGGAGTCGATCTATATACACACTATTTGGTTAACAGGTTAACAGTGTTTACTTCAGAGGAGGAGGGTCAGACCAAGGGAGACAGGGAAGCATATTTTATTCCATACACATCTGAATTATTATCCTTTATTTACAACGAACATGAGGGGAATACACTTGTGTATTACTTGCTTTCATAACAAAAAACGATTACAACTAGCTTTTCACAAATTGACTAGATTAGAAAAATAGACGCTTCTAATTGACATTATCTACAAGGCAAGTTTATTTTAACTACTGTGATAGTAAACAGGATGTGCCAATTGGCGTAAAGCGTACCTCTTGCTTCAGCTATCTTGGGTGGCTTTATTCCCCAGGATGGCTGGAGGGTGATGGGATCCTGCGGTAGGTGACAATGGCAGTCAGGGGCAGTGGCCAGCTAGATGCCAAGATTACTTCAGCACATGTCTTACTAAAGGAGCCAATCTCTTCTTTGTATCTTCCTGAGGCGATGGGATTCACATACTGCACATGTATGTGGCTACATTCTGACAGAATACTCAACTCCCTTCTCACACGCATATTCTTGTTTTTTATATTTTTTGCAAATTCTTGCACATTTATGTTTTTTCATGGACAGACCAAAATCTATTTGTAGTTTGCAATCATAGCAACTACAGACATAAAGTTTAAATGCAGGTAATTTATTATCATAAACTTAGAGTTAGATTTAATAAGTATTTTAAAATAATATCTAAAAATAAAACAGGGATTGAGGCCTAGAATATTGTGATGTAAATAAATATTCTCTGCAAGTATTTTAGCTACAAAGAAACATTTCTGTATTTTAATTTGAAGTTCTACTACTTCAATCATTCTAACTCTGGATTGCAAATTTATAAAATTGTAAAACTAAGCAGTGATAAATTCTGTAAGGAAAACATAACACGCATCATTATATAATGAGGCAGATTCCCTATATGGTACCACTTTTTTCAGGACAAATGAATGAAACATACTTAATCTTGCAAAGTAAGTGATATTTAGGCAAACTCCAAGCACAAACTCTTGCAAACTTACATGTGATAAAATACTCTGAGGAGATGTTTGCAATCATTTAGATTAACAGGGGACATTTTAAAAGCCTAGGGGTAGAGGGTGGGGACACTGACAGCAGCTCAATAGCAAAAATCCTCTAAAGGAAAGTCTCATTTTCTAGGTTTTTAGATGGGCTAGGCAGAATACATTTTTGTTTAGCACTGCACTAGAGCAACACCATTATTAATTATGCAAACATTTTTTTTTTTTTTGGATGGGTAAAAGAATTTGAGAATGACTCAGCAAGAGATTTCAAAACCAAATACCTCTACCTGCTTATTGAACATGTTCTTTTCACAACTATTCTCTGCTCTGTGACCTGGGATTAAAAGTTTGAGATCTACTAGAGAAGGGAGGCTCCATCACTGCAGTGGCCTCTGAAAAAGCCCCAGTTTTGCCAGGAACGTTGAATCAGTCAGTTCTACCTAGCCCTCCCATCCTTTTACTCTTCGTTTAAGTTGGAAATAGTTGATATTTCTTCAAGGTTAGCCTCTAATTTTTCTTTAACAGACATGGAACCTGGTCAAATCTCCTAACCAAAGACTGGGTCTACCTGTCAAAGGTATGTGTGTGTGGTTACCTTCCTATTTCCCTCTAGATGAGACTGTATGTTGATGGTAAATTGCAAAAGGGGGGCAATTTAAACGTTAAATGAAGATGAAAAGGCAACAGAAAATTTTTTACAAGTCCCTGCTAAAGTGACAGTTCAAGATTTAGTTGGAAAAAGGAAGGCTTCCAATCACCAGTCCCTTGGAAATTTGCGGGGGGAGAAGTCCTCTCACCTATTTTGGAAACTACTTGCAGATGTGGGGAAACCTCTGAATTGCTCACAACAGGGGTTTTGCAGAGATTTCCTCTGATTTTTTTTTTCCCTCCCCAATTTCCCACAACCTGTGTTTGTCTTGCGTCTGCTAGACTGACATGTGGTTTTACCTCGCTGATCCTGCTGCCAGGTTTTACACACTCTCCTCTGAAGTAAAACAACTGACGCCAAAGGATACTGAGCAGCTCAGGGCATGGACGCCAGAACTGTCAGAAAATTTGCTTCCCGAGTATTCCTTCCAACTTCTCTTCCTGCGCCCACGTGAGCCATAGCGCCAGCCCATCAGCAAGGTCTTAGCGTTTCCTGCTGCAGCAATCTGTAACTTGATTTTGGATTTTTTTTTTTAATTGCAGTTCTGAGGATCTTAGTTCTTAGCAAAACTTTGTTGATTGGGAGAATTTTAAAGCAGTCCATTTCCTTACCTAAGTCGCGGAGGCTCAGGCACTTTTCCTCCGTTCCTAGGCTGCACTAAGGTTAAACAGCAGCAAAGGAAAGAAACACACTAGCTGTTTATTTGGGGGGAGGGGAAGTGGAGATTTGCAGCTAAATTATCACGATCGCTCGCGCCACCCCCGGTCTGGCACTCTCTACAGACACGTACATCATCTATTAATTGCTGTTCGCGGACGCAGATACATAATATATTCATTTTTATCTTTAGGAAAATATAAATGGAATTGTCAGCGCGCTCGTGTCTGTTTGTTTGTATAAGGCTATCAAAAGAAGTCAGAGAGGAGGCTGTGGCCCGGATCCTGACCCTGATTGTATGAATAAGTAAGCAGGATGCAAGTGATTGGGTTAGATGCGAAGATTTTTTTTTTTCAAGTTAGGAAGAGGGTAAAAAGACAGCCTGGGGGGAAAAAGGCAAGCAGTGCATCACCAAATCCTCACACTTTTGCTCTCCTTGCTTTGCTGGCTTCTGCAGGCTTTTAAGGTCTCGCGGCGTAGACATGCCTGCCCCCCACCCCCTTCCTCGGTCTCCCCTTTCAGTTCAGATGTGCTGATGTGCAGACCGGATTCATCTTCCCGGAGCGGCGGCGGCGGGCGCAGGCGGCGGCGGCTCG